AAGAAGAACTCAGATAAACCATATATTGTCGTAGTCGTACGTTTATTAGTCACGCTGAATCAATGAAAGCAGTTAAGTCTTCTGTTTATTCAGCTACCGCTATTTCCTGGATTTCTTCTGAGTTTCTCTGGCCTTCAGATGGAGATTTACTACTAATCACAGAACCGTGCTTCACTGATGAGATGCGCATGACTATCACAACTTTTGCCTAATCGTGATTGCGAATTCATTTCGATTTATCGTGCAGCCCTAGGTCAACCTGAGAGGAAGTGTGGTGTTTTTTAAATGTCAAAATTAACTTTCTGAACTTTTAAGCCCCATTCACACCAAGAACGATAACTATAAAGATAACGATATTAGCGTCCACACCAGCGAATGATATCGTCTGTTTATTCTAAGCGCACACGCATCTGCCACTTTAAATTCTCCAGCTCGTTACAGCAGGATGGATTCTGATTGGCTGTCAATGTTTGTATCGTTCATCAGCTGGAAAAAAAATCGCTCTGAAAGTGATTCCAAAGATATCGTTTCTCTTTGTCTTTATCGTTATAGCTGTGGTGTGGACTCTGCTATTCTTTAATATTGAGAAAAATTTTTAGAACTGTATCTTTATAGTTATCGTGCTTGGTGTGAACGGGCCTTTTGACCTTATGTTTGTTTAACAGCTGACAATGACATTAGGTGCGTCCCAAATCACGTACTTATGCACTATTCTATGACGTTTTGTGGTATAGTGCGAGTAGTGCATTCACACTGAAAATTACAAAAATAAAAAGTGCACTTATATAACCGAAAAAACTAAGTGTGGAATGTTGGACACTTGATGCACTCAACTGTTGCAGCTTTAATTACATAGCGAAGGGGGCGGAGCTATCAGACTCCGAGTATGAATGACCAAATATCCTTATATAATTTATACACTACATGGTTCAGTATATAGTGCATAAGTACATGCCGAATAAGTGCATAGTGCATCAATAGGGATGCAGTTTATGTTTACATGGACATCAGTAATCTAATTATTTACCTTATTCTGAATAAGACAATATTATGATTAAGGTGTTGACATGAGTTGCTTTTAGAACAATCCTTTCATGTTCCTGTTTTACATGTTACAGTACACAGATCTATTAATGGCACACGTCAGTACATCCCCACGCCACGCGACGTCCCCTCCACAGTTTCACGTATCAGCATAGTTTGTCTTTGTTATTGTGCCATGTACAGTTTTGGGTGTTTCATTTTTAATTTTAGGACAGCTTCAAGTGCAGTTAACTCTTTGGCATGCTATACGTGCCAACAGATGACGGCGTTTCTCTTTTGCTTGCCGTTATGTGTATCCTGCGGCGAAAGGTTCTACACGATGGTAATAATGTGATTAAGGTGAGTACATGTCTGTACTGCGCTACGATAATGTGACTAAAATAGGAATACTCCACATGTCTTAATTCGATTTGTGTTTACTTACTTACGGATTAAAGTAATCAAAACTCTGTTTACATAGTAGATTCTTAAACTTAGTAGTATTGTCTTAACCGTGTGGAATATTGTTGTCCGTGTAAACGTACTCACTCTCACCAGCGTGATTCGACGCTCTCCGCAGCCCGGTCACACTACGATCGCAAAGCGATTTCACAACATTTTAGCGTTTTCCCACAGTACACTAATTCAGTTCACTCAACTGAAATGGAAGTCCAGAACTTCGTTTTACTTCAGGAAAACAGCGGTTATTGTGTTACACGCAACGGCAGATTCTCGATCGACTTTCTGTTTCTTCGGACGGAATCGGTTCCCGCTGCTAAGCCGGCTCAGCGTTAGCAGCGAGCTAACCGCTAACACGGACACAAACACTCGCCGTTCTCCGAACGAAACCGCGATTTATGCGACTTTTCCCGAGGCGTGACCCAAACACGGACGGTTTCTGTGAGAATTAGCACAGATTCCACACATCCATCTGCAAACCGTTAACTAGTCAGCAGCCAAGCTAACTGCTTAACTTGATCACGTTCGCGAACTAGTCTGAGATGGATTCGCTTTGTTTTTGAATTCCACGTTAAATCGCGTCTGCGGCTCGTTCCGGTGTTTTAAACGGCTCTCGTCGGCGTTTCGTCGCTGGTTGTCCGCCATCGCGCGCTGAGGCGGGTTGTGTCCGCGCCAGGCCGCGTCGCTGCTTGTGTAACTCACCGTTTAAAATGCTCAACAATCTTCTCCTCGCGAACATGTTCGGGTAAATTTCCCACCCAGAGGTGTCTGGTCTCCCGAACCATCCTGCGTCGTCCGCGTCCCGTTCATGCACATATATGCGCCCTCGCGTCGCGTCGTGTAATCTCCGCGCGTGAGGTAAAGTCCGCTGCTAGCGCGCGAGGAGGAAGATCTCGCGGCCCTGCGTGCGCACGAGCGGGAGCCGTAACTGTGACGTCAGAACTCTGGCTAGTAACGGATTACGTGTAACCCGATTCCAACAATTAAGTACTTGTAATTAGAGTAGATTACATTTTAATCCTCATATGAGGAGGGCATGTATGAAGTCGATGTCCTGTTTCGTAACAGAAAGTCATATTTTTATTTGAAACTCCATAACATTTTCCTGAGATGTTGATTTATGGCAAACAGTTTAAAAACGAGTCAGATTTAAATGATAATTATAAAATATTATCATATTTCCATAAGAGTGTTACATTTGATCACTAAATTAGTAAATATTTTAATAATGAAGCATCACATTTGCATGTTCAGGGTTCTCTGACGTGGGTTAATGGTCACATGACATGCAGCTAAACATACAATATTTCATGTTTTCAGTAAGGGTTTTATTTTGATTCATTGTTATTTTAAAATTATTTACCTTAATTTTACATTTTTATGATTTAATTAATTATTGGCTTTTCATTAAACTCGCGAACCCCCTGCAGTTTCACGAACCCCAGTTTGGGAAGCCTTGATGTAATGTAATGTAATGTCTAATGCAATGTACAATGAATGGAATACATTTTCTTACTCTTTGCATTTTTATATCAATATGGTACAAGAAAAAATAAATACGGAAAAATTCCTATTCCTTATACAGTATATCGTGCCCTATTTTTACAGATTTTTGTTGGGGTGTATAGAATCACTACATATTGTGCATCATAAACCAAGTGCATACTACACTGTAAAAAATTACCGTGAATTTAACAGTAAAAGACTGTAAAAATGCTACGGTAAAAACCGGTTAAATGGTTAATGGTAAGTTCCCCTACTATGTGCGGTGAAAAACTGTATTGAACATTACATGTCATTTTACGGTAGTATACCGTTTTTGGAAAGTGAAAAAGAACGTATAATTTACAGCGAATAACCGTAAATTGACATTTCAAATTTGATGTTTTTTTGTTGAAATATCAGTGTATACACATTATCAGTGTATTACAGAAGTACAAAACAGATTTCAGTACTTCAATAGGTTGGTATATTAACATTATATCAGTTAATGAAATTACGGTATTTAAATGTAAATTTAAGTTAAAACCGTAAAACCTAAAATGTTGCTACCATATTTTTTTACGGTAAAATTCTGGCAACCACAGCTGCTGTTTTTTTACTGTAAATTTGACAGAATTGTTTTACAGTGTAGTTGGACTGATATCTTACTGCACACACACACACACACACACACTCAGTTTTGATGTCGAGCGAGGAAGAGGACGGCAGCGAGGAGGAAGCTTTGACGGCCTCCAGACCGCGGCGCAGAGCGGCGGGAGAAACGGCACCCGGGGGGGTGTGCGGCGAGCTGGACTGACCCACCTGAGAGAGAGAGAGGGAGAGATACTGCGTTATGTAACCAATATAGCAACAAATCTCGTTTCGCAATTCAGACTTTTTCGTAATTATGAGTTTTTTGCACTTCTGACATTACATCTTGCAATTCTGACTTTCAGACTCCTTTTCAAATCCAGACTGTCAATATAGATTGAATTAAAATGGCTATGTGCCAGTAAAAGTGACAAATCTTGTTTTCCGTATTGCGATGAACATTTGAGGGAAACGGATTATCAAAAAATTGTAGGGTGGATCTGAATTCGACCTTGCAGTGGATTGTAAGAAAAAGGGTGAGTTTAGGCAGACAAAAGTATGTAATTACGACTTTTGATCTCACAATTCAGACATTTTCCTCGCGACTGCGAGTTAATCTCTCACAGTTCTCTAATCAGGAAGTGAACGTTTAAAGGCTCACCTTGCAGGCCGGATGGCACCAGAGCTCCGGCGCTCCGTGATCCTCGTTCTCCACACGCAGCTGCTGCCACGTCCAGGGGGAGGCGCTCATGTGCAGCAGCCACGCATCCTTCAGCAGCTGCACACACAGATGGTCACTGCAGCGCATCTCCACACACACACACACTCACACACACACACACTACACACTCTCTCACTCAGTCACTCACACACACACTCACTCACTCACACGCACTCGCTCACACTCACACTCGCACACACACTCACTCGCACACACGCGCAAACACACACACGCACACACTCGCACACTCACACACACTCACTCACTCACACACACACACACTCACTCACACACACTCACAGCGTTCGGTCCGCCGCAGCCGCCCAGAATCAGCAGTGTCTCGCTGTCGATCACGATCTGAGGAACACGAGGCGACACAGTGAGCGGCTCAGACTCAGAGCATCATGGGAGTCAGTGAGAGACTGAGGAGGCAGTGTTACCTGAGACTGTCCCCCGCGAGGGTGAGGACACGGGCCGCTGACGGCCGGTTTGGACCAGGACCACTGCTCCAGATCCAGAACCCAGACCTCATTACTCCTGCGACACAAACACACACAGGATAAACACGCCACTCGATCGCTCGCGGCCGACTCTCTCGCCTCATACGTACATCTGCCTCGCGCCCAGAGAGCCTCCAAACACCACCATAGTGCTGCCCATCACGGAGGACGAGTGTCCCGCCATCGGCGGCGGCCCCTGAGTCGTCACGATGCAGTTCCACCTGCGGGCGAGAGAGGGGCGGAGTTACAGGCTCACACTTCCTGTCTGACACACACAGCTTCCCTTGAGTCACACCATGCAGGAAACACGGACGGAATCACAGAACCCAGTCCAAGAACCAAACGTTTTCATTTCATTTGATAAAAACAATCAAACACAAACAAAGTTAAAGCTCAACACAAATGGCAAAATAAAAGTTCAGTTCAAATTATGACTGAAAGATATTGCTGCTGTACAGTAAAATAGCCAACAATACATTGTATGGGTCAAAATTATCCATTTTTCACACACTCACTCTCTCTCACACTCTCTCACTCTCTCTCATTCTCACACACTCACTCTCTCACACACTCTCTCTCACTCTCACTCACACTCTCTCACTCTCACTCACACTCTCACTCTCACTCACACTCTCACTCACACTCTCTCTCTCACACACACACACTCACACACACTCACACACACTCACACACACTCACATTTTTTTGCACCCTCAGATTCCAGATTTTCAAATAGTTGTATCTCAGCCAAATATTGTTCATTTTGTCCAGAACATTGTCTATTTCACATGTGGTAAAGAGTCTCACCAGTTCTTGGAGGGTGAGTAGGTGTGTATCTCGTCGAAGAAGCGCTCGGGCTGGTGGAGCGGGTACGGACTGGGCCGAGTCCAGCCGCCGAACAGCACCAGCAGATCCCTGTACATCACCAGCGTGGCTCCCGCCTTACGAGACGGATACGAGCCTGAACACATCACTCTCACTCACACTCTCTCACTCACACTCTCTCACTCTCACACTCTCTCACACTCTCACACACACTCACTCTCTCACACACACTCACTCTCTCTCACTCTCACTCACTCTCTCTCACTCACTCTCACTCACTCTCTCTCACTCACTCTCACTCACTCTCACTCACTCTCACTCACACTCTCACACTCACACTCACACTCTCTCACTCTCTCTCACTCTCTCACACTCTCTCACTCTCTCTGACGCCAGCGGCCGGATCCACTCCTTACTGTTGAGATCCAGACGCCACAGATCGTTAAACGCTGCGTTACAGCTGCTCTGAGTGCAGCCGCCGAACACGTACATCGACTGGTTCGAGTCGTAGTAACACGCACCTGCGACACACACACCACACACTAACACAAACCAAACTCAACCTCTTTATGCTACACATTGTCAAGAATTATCATTTAATACAACTAGATTATGAACATCTCATCAGTGACTGAGTCAATGAGTCATTCTTTAGAATGATTCAAACTAATCACTTGTGATTCATTAAAAGAACTGGTTCAAAAGAGACTGATTCGAGTCGTAGTAACACGCACCTGCGACACACACACACACCAAACTCAACCACATGACGCTGCATACTGTCAATTTCATACAACTAAATCATCGACATCTCTTCAGTGAGTGATTGAGTGATCTTTAGAATGATTCTAACTAATCACTTGTGATTCATTAAACGGTTTCAAAAGAGTCATTTCAAAAGAATCTAGTGTGATCTAATTCAGCAGATTCACACAGCAACATCAGGAAACTGGTGTGAGTGTGTGTGTGTGTGTGTGTGTGTGTGTGAGAGTGTGTGTGTGAGAGAGAGCGAGTGAGTGAGTGAGTGAGTGAGTGAGTGAGTGAGTGTGATCGGTTCACTGACTGTGTGAGAAGCGTTGTGTTATCGGTGTTCCAGGATATGGATATGTGCGACTCTCCCACTGAATGTTTCCCTCCTGAACAGCCCTCAGGAATCCATGATAACACTGATACGCCACACCTGAGAGAGAGAGAGAGAGAGAGAGAGAGAGAGAGAGTCAGTCTCTCACACACACACACACACACACACACACACACACAGATCACAATCACAGCGCATCAGAAGGACATCAGAACGCGCCACATCACTGCATCACACACTAAACCACAACTACAACCAGAACCACTCAGCTCACTGAATCCTTAACTGTAACTATAATAACTGAAACAATAACTATAACTATAATGACCACTACAATGACAACTATAATTGTGAATATAATAACAATAATGACAATGATAACTTTAACAGTAATTATAATAACTGCAACGATAGCAATAACAACAACTATAATAAGTACAATAACTATAATAGTAACTATAATAACAATGACTATAACTATATAACAGCAACAATAATGCTACCCATGATATCTATAATGATAACTATGTAACTACAACAATAATAATGATATCTATAAGAGTAACTATAATACTGTAACAATAGCTTTAGTGGTTATAATGATAACTATAACGGTAATCATAACTATACCAATAACTACTATGATAACTTTAATGGCAACTATAATAACTATAACTGTAATAATAATTTTAATGATAATGACAACTATAACGGCAACAACAACTATAGCGATAACTATAGTGATAATAATAACTATAAAGGTAGCAATAACTATAACGATAATGGTAACCACAGTTACAATGATATCAACTGTAACAATAACGCTAGCTATACTGGTAACTTTAACAATAATGATTACTATAATGAAGAGGAACTATAACGATAACTATATTTATGCTGATACGTAGAACTATTACGATAACTATAACGGTGTGGATAACAATAAGTAAACTATTTTGACAATGCTAACGTTATCAATAACAGAAATGATTACTATAACAATAATTTTCTTTCTGCAGTTTTGTCGCCGCTTTAAAGTCGCTGGATTCTGATTAGTGCCGTCAAACGATTAATCGCCATTAATCACATCCAAAATAAAAGTTTTTGTTTACAGAATATCTGAGTGTGTAGCCTCGTTCACACCAAGCACGATAACTATAAAGATACAGTTCTAAAAATCGTTCTCAATATTAAAGAATAGCAGAGTCCACACCACAGCTATAACGATAAAGACAAAGAGAAATTATATCGTTGGAATCACTTTCAGAGCGATTTTTTTCCAGCTGATGAACGATACAAACATTGACAGCCAATCAGAATCCATCCTGCTGTAACGAGCTGGAGAATTTAAAGTGGCAGATGCGTGTGCGCTTAGAATAAACAGACGATATCGTCCTCTGGTGTGGACGCTAATATAGTTATCTTTATCGTTATCGCTCTTGGTGTGAACTAGGGTTGGGTATCGTTTGAGTTTTATCAATTCCGATTCTTTTCGATTCCAATGTGATTAAATAATGATATCAAACATTTATCCTGCGTCTCTTTTTTGCAAACCATTTATTGGAGCTGAATACCATGAACACAAATCAACAGGCCACATAAGAACTGGACTCTTTAAGAGCTGTTTGTGTGCGAAATAGAGCTGCATGATTCTGGATAAATTGAGTTTTTCCCCCGATGGAAGTTGTGGTTCTCTCATGATTCTGAAGAAAGCACATTAGACAACGAAACAAACTCACATGTAATTCATGAATGAATGATTCAATGACTCACTTGTTTCATTACTGGATGAATCAGCGTTCTTGAACGAATCTCTTGTGTGATTCAAAGACAGATACATTTTAACAGCCCCTTTTCGCCACCTACTGGCATAACAATGTAATCGACAAATCTTCATTTGAAGTGTCAGATTACTTTCAAAAGGTGATTTACTCTATTTGAATCGTGAGTTTATATCTGAACTATAAACTTTTATCCCAGTACTTCTGTGATTTGAGTGTTTGTAACAGAAATAATGACACTGTGTGGAGAGACTGTGAAGCGGTTTCATTCATGACAGACAGCTGCTTTCTTTAGCTCAGCGCAGCGCGAACGCAGATTTAAATATTCAGATCACACTGGTGTGATCGTACGCTGCACGGACGAACCACGTGATCACAACACTGATCGCACGTCAAAGCTTGAGGAATGAAACAGACGAATCATTGACGAATCGATTTTCGATTGCCAACCCTAGTGTGAACGGGGCTTTACAGTTAGCATGATCGTTACAGCGATTATTAGAACCTCTGGCGTTCAGCGGACCTTTGATGAGGCGGTACCACTGCTTGCAGACCAGCGCGGCCGTCTTGTGCTCCTGGTAGGGCGACAGGAAGGACAGGATGAACTCCAGCACCTCCTCGGGGAGCTCGCCCATGCTGCGCTCGCCCGGCTGCACCTCCTCCGTCTCCATGGCAACCGCGCAGCTGTCCTCGCCGTCTGCGCAGCCGGACATGACGCCGCCGTCTGCGGATCTGAGAGTAAAGACACGCGACTGTGTTCAGATCACATCAGTGTTTTCCCGCAGGATTGAGCTACTTTAACACTATTTAAAAGTAGTGCCGTCAAACGATTAATCGCGATTAATCGCATCCCAAATAAAAGTTTTTGCTTACATATGTGTGTGTACAGTGTAGGGTTGCAAAAAGGAGGAAAACTTCCAGTAAATTTCGGAAACGTTCCAGGATTGTTTTGAATGTTCCAGGGAATTTTGGAAAGTTTCCGGAAATGTACCGGATATTTTCCACCCCTTTGCAACCCTAGTACTGTGTATATTTATTACGTATATCTAAATACACACACACATGCATGTATATATTTCAGAAAAATGGGTTATGTTTATATATTAAATATATGTATTTATAATATAAATTATACGAAGATAAATACAGACATTCAAAATATATACTGTATGTGTGTGTATTTATATATACATAATAAACATACACAGAACACACACATATATTATGCAAACAAGAACTTTTATTTTGGATGCGATTAATCGTTTGACGGCACTACTTAAAAGATAAGTTCACTTCCAGAATAAACATTTCCTGATCATTTACTCGGCCCCATGTCATGCTTTCTTTCTTCAGTCGCAGAGATAGCACACGTACATCACGGAGACGTCTGCATTACATCTGCGAGACGCATTTCTTAGAGCGTTTGCTCATCTGCAATATATCTATAGCACGTCTCCTATCAGATGTCTATCAGATGTCTATCAGATGTTTATGATTTAGAATGTATGTAACATCTTACAGATGTACCTGTGCTATCTGGGATAAGCTTTTTGAGGAAAACATTGCAGGATGTTTCTCCATATAGTGGACTTCAATGGCGGCCAATGATTTCAATGTTAAAAATGCAGCTTGAAAGAGCTCTACACGACCCCAGCCGAGGAATAAGGCTCTTATCCAGCAAAACAATCGCTCATTTTCTGAAATCTTTTCTTCTTTTACCACAAACGCTTGGCTAGCATTAGCTCTGCGATGCGCGTGCATGTAAAGTTTTATTCTGAAAGTGAACTTATCCTTTAACACCTTATCCTTGGGTTGAAGCGAGCCCAGTAACGTGATATTTAGCCCTTGAAGCACAAATTGTTCCAGGAAAACCTGTACTTTATCACGTTGGGATCCCCCAAAAAGCAACTGGGCTAGTTTTGAGCAGCAAGCGGGTGGGTTATGTTGTGAAAACCTGGCAAGCCTGATTCAGATGTTCTTCAGGACGCTCTCAGGAGCATCTCAGATCATGACAACATCATTAATAATCAGAACCCGTGTTTAATAACGGAGGGATTTGGACGGTTTCTCTGATCTGATGTAATTAGCGACGGTTATCAGCGGCTCAGATGATCACTCCGCTGTATTTACTCTCATGTTTACTCGTGTAGTTCAGTAGCGAGGTGTAAAGCGAGAGTATTTTCAGCTGCTGCTTCGTTAGCTGAGCGCTAACAGCCGGTTTTCTCGTCTGCTGCTGCTGGTGATCAGAGCGCTTAACTCACCTGTGTGCCGGTGTCTCGGTCCGTCTCTCGCCGGCGCGCTGCTGCTTCTTCTTCTCCTTCTCCGCTGTTGTTTGTTTGTGTTTCTCTTTATCAGCTGCTCGCATGAAGCTCCTCACTCCAAACATCCGCCATCTTCCCTCCGCTCGGGAGCGCGCACGCACGCACGTCACGCGTCTCGGGGTGACGTCCGCTACGTTCGGGCGCGCCCGCTCTTTCTCTGGCATAAGTATTTATGAATATATCGTTTGTTTTATTGACGATTTTGTTTGTCTAAGAACGCTAATGCTCGATTTTGTGCGTTTGTCGGTAATCCGGGAATTGTGTTCCTTATGTTGTGGCGTTCGTCACATATTATTCTGAAGTGTTATGAATCAAATCATCCAGCAGGTGTCAGTAGATCAATAATCACAGCTTGCTGCAAGGAAAAACTGTAAAATATCGTCAATAAAAGTGTATTCATTTACTAATAGTTACAACGCAATCATTTTATTTCACGTCTTTTAAAGATCCGTTTCGGCACTTTTCGAGACGATCGCTGTTTTTAATGTAATATTTGTATTACTTTATAGTTTATGCTGTCGAGCGAGCGGCTCTCTCGCATGTCAATCAGATTCATTCTAGCGAGTCGGTTCGCTGTAAATCGTTCTTATATGTAGCTTCGGAAAGCCCGATTCATTCTAGCGAGTCGGTTCGTTGTAAATGGATCTCGCTCTTATATGCAGCTTCGGAGCGAGTTGCTGTTTTTTGTCATTCTTCTGAAGACTTCATTCATTTGTTTTGGCAATGCTCTACACAGAAACATTTAGGTCATACTTTTTAGTGTTTATTCAATCTTTTGTAAGTGACTTCTCTTTTTGTTTTAATGATGCCTTCGGAAAGTCCGAATCTTTCTAGCGAGTCGGTTCCTTCTAAATGGATCTCGCTCTTATATGCAGCTTCGGAGCGAGTTGCTGTTTTTGTCATTCTTCTGAAGACTTCATTCATTTGTTTTGGCAATGCTCTACACAGAAACATTTAGGTCATACTTTTTAGTGTTTATTCAATCTTTTGTAAGTGACTTCTCTTTTTGTTTTAATGATGCTTTCTGTGGATTGTTTGACTATTCAAAAGAGAACACCGGAAAATATTACAGTATTAATTTATGTTTCCTGTTAGCTAAATTTCACATTCATAAACAGAAGTTTACTGGCTCTAAACCTCTCTTCTCCTTATTTAAAGTGGACTTAGACAAGCATGTGGAAACTATCCAAACTTCTGTTAATCTGAAAGCTATGAAAACAGTATCTTTATATTCGTCCTTTGTATCTTCTTAAGATGTAATTTTATTACCTTGTTTTTTATTGTTGTTACCCTGGCAACAATTCTGTGTGTATATTTGTTTTTTTTATCTTGTATTTATTTATGATTATTTTATTTATTTTAATTGTACTGCCTTAATGTTTTAATTGTTTAATAAAAAATAAAAAATAAATATATATATATATATGTAGCTTCGGAAAGTCCAGTTCTTTCTGGCGAGTCGGTTCGTTCTGGATCTCGCTCTGTAACAATGGAAAGTTCGAGTTATTCCAGCGAGTCAGTTCATTTGAACCGGATCTCGGAATGGAGAGTCGGAATCATTGTGGTGAATCGCTTTGTTCGAACGGTTTTTCTAAATGAAAAACTGCAGTCATTATGCGGCATTTCATGTCTTTTTGTATCACTATGTTTTTGACTCAGTTTTATTAATTTGTTTCTATTAAATTGATGATAAAATTAATTCATAATCCATTAACTCATAATTAATTTGGCATACTTTTATGCGAAATGATTTACATTGTGTTGGTGAGTTTTAAGTGATCTAGTTATTTTGTTAATGAGCAGAAAATCATAACTGGTTCCCTTCATAAGTTATATCATAACTCAAACAGGCAGCATAAGAAATGAAAATGGCTTTACTGTCATTTAACAGTTTCCATTGATTTCATGTGGACCAGTTTCCAGTCTCTCAGCGATTATTAACAATGAATATTAATGTTACAGACTCCTGATCATGTAAACATCGGCACAAACACACACCAGACAGACGAACTGCAGCTTTAATCGTTCCACTGACACATGAAGAGACTCCACACGAGCGTTAAACCGGAGTCCCGTCGGGTTTGCTCTGGTCTGATGGCACTTCCTGTAGAGGGCGGAGCACTTCCTGTGCTTTGAGTGGCGGCGCGGAGCCTTTGGCGGGAAACGGCCGGCCCTCGTTATCCAGAACCCCTTCTCCATGAAGCCAGTCCATCTTCTGCCGGTGCTGTCTCACGGCGTCATCCACCCGCGCGTCGATCATGGCCTCGGTCAGTACACCATCCTCGGAGGAGTACGCCGCCGCCTGACACACACACACACACGTTACCCATGAGCCTCTGCGGCATCACACACCTCCATGAGATCAAACATTCAAAGGAGAAGTCCACTTCCAGAATAAACATTTCCTGATAATATACTCACCCGCATGTCATCCAAGTCTGTCTTCAGTCAGTGTTTTTCTCCACATAGTGGACTTCAGTGGTGCTCAACGGATTGAAGGTTAAACATGCAGCTTCAAAGAGCTCCACACGATCCCAGCCGAGGAATAAGGCTCTTATCTAACGAAATGTTCGATCATTTTCTGAAAACAATTAACATTTATCCACTTTTTAACCACAAATGCTTGCTAGCATTAGCTCTGCGATGCGCGTCTTTATTAGCTGATGTTGGAAAGGTCATGTGTGACGTAGCACCGACCCAGTGTTTACAAAGCAAACGAACAAAAAAAGTAAAATCCCCTTAACCAAAAAAATGTAAAACAACGATGTCGGATGATTTTAAAGTTGGAGAAAATGAGATGGAGTTTGTAAGCAAAGTACAAATATGAACCTGACCTTTCCAGCAGGATTACGTGACGAGTGAAGACGCGCATCGCAGAGCAAGCATTTGTGGTCAAAAAGTGCTTAGATATGAATTTTTTCAGAAAATGGCCGATCGTTTGGCTAGATAAGACCTTTATTCCTCGGCTGGGATCGTGTGGAGCTCTTTGAAGCTGCATGTTTAACCTTCAATCCGTTGAGCACCACTGAAGTCCACTATGTGGAGAAAAACACTGACTGAAGACAGACTTGTATGACATGCGGGTGAGTATATTATCAGGAAATGTTTATTCTGGAAGTGCACTTATCCTTCAAACACTTTAGTGAGAAATCAGTGTTAAAGTTAGAGTGTGTCTGTGTGCAGCATAAAAGTTGTTAACGGGCGAACGAACCTGCCAGGCGACTGCGAGTTTGGAGATTTCTCGCCCGGACATTCCCTCCACACGCTTCGCAATCTCCGAACACTTCAGCCCATAATCGAACTGAGCCAGCTTCAGCCTCCTGCGCACACACACACACAGAGACACACACACACACGCGCGCACACACACACAGAGACACACACGTTCAGTTCAGGGAGTGCCATGCAGCATTTAAAAATGGTCTGAATCAATGCTATTGTAAACTAAAAGCAGTTTTATATGTTTTGTCTACCTTTGCTTTTTTGTTTTTATTGTATTACTGACAGTTTATTTATTTTCAATCATCTTTGAGGACTTTTTTCACTAATATAAAGTTTTGTTCATATGACCCACTAATAATCGTGATTACAATATTGACCAAAATAATCATTTATTATATATATATATATATATATATATATATATATAGCTATATAGCATTTCTTTGGGTCAAAATAATATTTTCACTGCCCCAACAATATATTTAAATATAACTGAGTATAATATAAATATCACCTTATATAACCATATCATATATGGTTCATATATATATATATACATATATACATACATACATATACATATATA